GTTCAACTCGTCTTCGTTGGAAAGCCGCAAAAGGAAGGTAGGCGCCTGAGAAGAAGGGGAGAAATCAGGGTCCTGTACAAAACAGAAAATTAGTGAGCAACGGTTCTAGAATCACATAATAAGATACACATTGGATCTATACCTGGATGTATTCAATCGGAGTGTCATCGCTGATATCACGCTTGGCTGTGTATCTGCTTGCAGGAAATGAATTTGGTGTGAGATTCAACAAGACTCGCCTCCTGGAGTTAATTATAGTCACAGATGCGATTGCAACTGCATGGGTCCATGCTGTCAGCGATTGCGGCTACTGCGCAAGGAGGGAATGTGGGCAGGGTTGAAGATAAACACAAATAGAGCTTTGCGGGGCATTCGTATAGGAGCCGCGGGAGTTGAAGACATACATTTGTTTTGGTCTTTAAAGTATAGACTCCCCGAGTCGTCCAGCCGGCTTCCAACATTTCCCATGGTGATATAATTCAAGGGGTCAAGTCACCGCTCGAAAGTGTATCCGGAGAGGGTACCGGGACAACTGGAGGTAACCATCGACAGTCTGCGCGTCCACAATCGGATGGAAGGGTGTACTGCTAACGATGTGGCTGCAAACGTGACCAAACAAATGAACCGTCATTCAGTCAGATGCTTGGAGCGGTTCGCACGTCGTAAGTTGCGGCAGAGACAAGTTGGCTGGTACTGAGGACAGGTAAAGTGATGCGGTCGGAGAGAATCAAAGAGGGGCCAAGGCAAGGAAAAGAAACCCGCGGGCCTTGTTTAGTCTTGAACTGACAAATGGGGTGGGACAGCTGGAATGTCTAACGAGGCTTGCTGGGGCCTAGGCAAGAGGAAAAGGTAGGAGGCTGATAGCGGCATGAGTTTGAAGGGGAATAAGTGGGAGGTTATGATTATGATTGATGGACGAGAGTTCGGGACTTGGGGCTTAGACTGTGGTGCCTGAGGATTGATTAGTCGCTGGATTTCTTGTCCCGCGCGCTATGAATGATCTTATTAAATGGGGTCCATTTTGCCCCTCGATAATGGGTCCTCATACGTACACTGACTTCTTTCCGCCGATATTGTCCTCACGTTGTCCTGTAACACGAAACAATGGGTTGAAATGGGTTCCAGAGATTGTTACTCTCCTACTACTTTCAAGCCTCTGGTACTGTATTATATCTGAATATGATATATTGCGAGACATGGTGCGGTACCTACATGGAATGCAATGTAAGCATTTAAATTCATTAATCCTACCCAAATGGTATGTCCATTTCGCAGACCTCCCCCCGTCCTCTCCCCCCTTTAGTGCCCCTCGGGCCCTCTATACTAGTAGCCTCTACACAACATGATTTAAATCTATCCCACCTTAGACAATCCTTAGACAATCACGAGTCTCAGGTATTCTAAGCCTTTTGCATGCTCACCCTCTAGGTTCACAATATCCTACGCGACCACCTAGAACAAGGCGATCTGGAAACTGAGTGACTAGTGACATGGGGCCTGATCATATGGCATCATACTGTAACCGGAAGGAACTACTGTAGGTACAAATTGTAGTGAGCTGGGTGGTATGCTAGGCTTCCAAGGTTGTAACTATTTTTCACTAATACAAAAGCAGACTGCGAAGCTTGCTCTGCTTTTAAATCGAATTGGTGCGGCAAGTAGTGCCTATGAAATAGCAAGAATGAAACGCTGAGCCCAACGCATCTCTATCTCCATAGCCACGTTGTCTCATCTGCATTGCCGTTTAGCTCCCCAGGCTCCACTTGTTTTCACTCAGCTGCGGCGGTCTACATCATGCCAAAGGGAAGAAAACCATAAGAGAGTATGATATGATATTAACATTGATATACATTAGACATATGAGCAACTCAATGAGAATGAGAGTCTCAAAAATATGATACATCCTTTCAGTAGGCGCCAAGGTAGCAAAGATTGTTTCTTTGTCTCTTTCTTTTGAGAGCCATTTTGGTATACCGTATAGGCACCCCCTGTTGGCGGTGTATGTCGGAAACAGCATATATCGTTCACTCAATGGGGAAATAAATAAAGGGAAAAATGGTCACCAAGAAGAGTATAACAAGGTAGGAAAAGAATAAGGGCTCATCAAGGTACCGAATGAGCAATGGGGTCAAAATATAGAGGGGGCCATGTCCCTCCAAGCTCAGTATTAAGAGATGAGGAAAAATCTGGGTCACAACCTAGTAGAGCTATTGTCCGGTTGCCTGTCAAGAGCAGTATTTTCTTGTGTGATTTTTGACAATCGATGCCCTGGAGTAGACATCGGCCTGATCTCCTCGCCGTGTGCGGGAACACCTGTAGTTTTGTGCTCCGCTTGTGCCCACTTCATGACCTGCCCTTTCACGTCACGCATGTCGTGCACCTTTTGGGCAAACTCGCCTCGCTTCTTCGATATGACACCGCTGCGTTCATCAAGTTCTTCCTCGTCTGAGCTCGATATGGAAAGTGACGACGCGCTGCTTTGTTGGAGAAAGGTCATCTGACCACCTTCCTTGCTCTTGAACTCTCTCTGCTCATCCTTTAAGTCTATCATTCTTTCAGCATCTTCTGTACAGTCCAGTGTGCTGATATGGAGACCGACAAAGCTTTGTGAAATGAATTTCTTCAAAAGAGAAAGCTTCTGACCATTCGGGCGATATGTTCCGCTATCATTGTCAATGAAAAGCTCGTAGTCTGCGGGATTGGTTGATATCTCTTGATCCTGTAGAGGTTCTTCCACGGGGATTTCGGTATCTGAGGGCTGGGACATTTGAGAGAAGTGCCGACGGTGATGTTTTCGTCGACGGAGAAAAAACTCGCCAGAGTAAGCGATGTATATTGAAACATTGCTGTGCATCGTATGCTTGCTTAGCAAATCAATTCCAAATTCTTTTCCCGTTTCGGTAAAGCGAAATTGTCCATCAAGGGTGAGAACATATGTAAATATTCTCCCCCCCTGAGCATAGTGGGTAAATTCTAGAAACTTTTGGGTAAGTTCGACGCATGGCGACTCTGATTGGCCATGGAGGGTTGACCTGTCAAAATTATAAATTCGCTGATGCTGATGGTGTAGAGCTCGGTTGAGGATACGACCTCGAAGACTCTGTGATGTAAACATTCCCGCTACGAAGGGTTTGAACTCCACGTAGCGATGGTAAAGCTCCGCAGGCACAGGGCCCTTGAGCTGTATTTGAATCGCTTGAAAACTATACCAATTCTCTGTAATGAGCCATTGTTCTTTACTTAGCAAGGGGTAGCGGGGGAACGTACTTGTAACGAGTGATTGTCTTTTTACCATTCTGACTTTGAACTTCGTCCTTGGTGCCGGCCAATCGTCCAATAAGAGGAGAAAAATGCTTAAACCAGTAGTTCGGTCCTACAGTATAGACCTGGCCCCCTTCCTCACTCGGTGTCTTTCCTAAAAACTCCACGCTGATGACGAGATGTGATCCGACGTCCAGACGCCCGGAAGCAAGAGCGGCAATGTTTCCGAATAAATAGACCCGCTTGCTGCCTGTGCGCTTCTTGACCTTGAATGACTGCTCCTTGATACCATTCCAGTGGCCCGAAATGGAGTCAACTTCAACATATGCATTCCCTAGCTTGTCATCGTGATCTGCCGCATCCTCATCGTAAACAGTGCATTTGAGTTGGAACCCTGATGCGGGCACATTCGCAACGATCCATTCACTCTCCCACACGGGGTCTCGATTTTTGCGTATTGTTGGTGTTCGGAACGTCAGATTGTTATCCTGCTTATGTCGTTTGGGAATATCGGTATTTAGCTGGGCTACTATGTATGGGTCAGAGGAGAAGCTTCCGAAATCAGCACAGGGAAGGTTGATGCCCCGATGAAAGGTGAATTTCAGTGTGAAGCCTGGTGGTGTATGGGGAAACGGAGTGCTGTCGAATCCACCGGCGGGTTTTTGTTCCGTAGGATCACCGTTTAGAGTACCCTTCATAGCCGCTGCTCGATTCTGTAATTGCTTCGTCTTGTCAACAAACCTGGGTGCGAATTTTGTTAACCGAATGTCATGGCCGCGTTTGCGGTAGTGTGTCTTGCATTTCAGGGTTTTTTTTTCTTACCCCCACCTTTTTAAAGCCAGGCGGACAGGACAGTCGTGGTCTAGATTACGGAGTAGGTATTGTTGCTGCCTGCCCGACAGGGTTCGGATGAATCTGCGGGAACTGCGGGACTGCGCAGATGCAAAGCTTTGAAAGCCAGTATCTAGTTTAGCAAACGCGTAAAAAGAGGAGAGACCACATTGGCGCACTATTTTCCATTGACACCTGGACAGTCAATATCGTCAAGGGAATAGTTTAACTTATCGCCACTTCACACAGTCTCTCCCCATTCCACGGCTCTTCGGTTCAGGGCCCAAGAATCGCTAAGCTTTTGGGGCCGATCTCACTCTTTTGGGGAAGGAAGAGGCCCGCCAAGAATTAAGGAGTCAGGGTCTACTCCTGGGTTTAAAATTGTTCACTGGGAGAAGGAGATTATAAGGACATGGATGCAGGTAGTATAGCTACTAACTACTATCTAATATTCTAGGAATGTTTTTTCCCTTCTGGATTGAGTATGGGGGTTCAAATAGAACTCCAGAGTAAGGAGGGAGCCGTGACATCATCGATAGGGCTGAACGGATACGGCATTATCTGCAAACTGATCTAGCATATGAGGTGTCATAATCGGTCTTCTGCCAGGATACTTCTAGAGTCATAGATGCACTGCCCTATTTTCTCTTTGACCTTAAATTAAGAGGGCAAAAAAAAAAAAAAAAAGAAAAGAAAAGAAGGGAAAGGAAGAAATAGCCATCTGATGTGAAAGTAGCGGTCACAATTATCTACTTAAAAAACTTCGAAATGCTCTAAAAAGTTCAAGGCTTCTCTAAGTGACATGGTAAACCCTTGAGACACCTGTTCGGAGTCCTTTGACCGGCTTATATTTGACTTGTTCCATAAAGCACATAAAATAGATAGGCATTGCCGCCGTGGACGTATGATTAGGAGCCCCGAAATAAGAACTGCATATCCTCTGGGGTGAGCTTCTCCAAGGCCTCCCCTTGATCTTTGTTAATGGTTCCATTAATCAAATTGGCCTTCTTTTCCTGTAGTAACACAATCCGAGATTCAACCGAATCCTCAATGCACAGCCGCGTAATAACACAAGGCCGACGTTGACCAATCCGGTGGCATCTGTCAGCGCTTTGCCACTCAGCGGCTGGGTTCCACCATCTAACAGTGTAAGCGAGGCATTCAAAAACGCATCAAATGGCTGCTTCAGGGGAAACCTACGGGTCAACAATGAAAACTCTTGATGCCTCGGTGAGGTTCAAGGCCACGCCCCCTGCTTTGAGGGACACAAGAAATACCTCGACATCTACATTGTTCATGAAAAAATCAATTGACTTCTGCCGCTGTGCAGGCGTCATAGTTCCATCAAGCATGACGGTGTTAAATCCAGCCCGTCGTAGGCGCCATTCAACAAGCTGCAGCATTGAAGTAAACTGGGAGAAGACGATGGATTTGTGCGTTTGCTTCTTGCTTCTCAGTTTGAAAAGCTCATAGACGAGCATTTCGATCTTCGTTGACGATGTCCAATTTTCCATTCGAATTCGATTTATTATGGAGTTTTTCTTGATATGCTCTTCTTCCTGTTCTATATCCGGCTGCTCGAAATCAACGGAGAGTGGAATATGACACCTAGGGCAATCGACAACTGAGCCCGCATCAAACGATTGCACATAGTCCTTGGCACATCGGCGACAGAATTCATGGCGGCAGCGAGAGCGAATTGCCTCCTCCGCTGGTTCATCGCAAATACTGCAGACGAGGATGTTCTGGCCACTCTCGGCGTGCTTTTTCAATATCAGGTCTGGGTGGTTCGCAACTTGCCGCATCTGCATAATAAGTCCAAAGATATTGGCATAGTTATTCAGCATTACACCACGGCTCACATATGTATCAAACTGTCGCGTTGAGTTAGTCATGATGCTTCTGGAAAAATCGCGTTCGATCTCTCCGAAAAATTCATTGTGTAGAACAACACTGTAATTTGTCAGCGCAATGGCTTCAATATCAAGATGCCCGAGTATACTACTAACCGCTTCGGTGGAAGCTCCATCGAAGCCGTATGATCTCGCTTAATGCGTCTTAGCATTATTCTCTCAGTAATTAAACGTAGCTTAGACAATGCTTCCTTTCGAGCTTCCGGATTATTTCTCTCTGTGACTATACCTAGTTAGAGCGGAATCACACGTTGCTGTGAAAAACTTACTAGGGTTTAGAATTTCCTGGTTAAAGATTGAGACATGACTAAATCCACTGCGACGGCCGTTAGTACTGATAAGGACACACAGATGATACTCGTATGCACTATACCTATGTTTACAATGGGTACAACGTTTCCCCGCATCTTGTGACCAATGGAGTTCCTGACACTTGCACTGTTTGCAAAAATAACAAGCAAAGGGGCGAATTTCTAAGAAGCGCAGGAGAGAAAAGAACTCCCCGATTCGGTTTTGAACAGGGGTACCAGAAAGACACCACTTATATTTGGCTTTGAGTGCAAAACACGCACGAGCGACACTCGTAGTGCGTTGCTAGAAATGTCAGTCCGTTGCATTAATATCTATAATTAGATTGAGTATACCTTGATACTATGAGCTTCATCTAGAATAAGACGATGATAGTGAATGGAGTGGATAATACCTGTTATATGTCAGTGGGCCCAGAGATTGCACCAAGGACGTCGATACTTACTGTCTTCCTTCACAATCCCATCGCTGCGATTCCACCCCTTCCATTCTTTTCGGTGTATTGACTCAAGGCCAGAATCTAGCGCGGGCGTAGAGATAAATCAACATTCTGTTTATGGGGATAAAACACACAGGAGATCATAATCACGTCGTATGCTAGAAGATCCTTTTCTGAGAGCGACTTGACTTTGGAATTTGAATTGTGATATACGAGAACCTTTAATTGACCGTTTGTGTACTCCTAGAGTAAGGTTAGACTATTTCTTACGCTCACCTATGTTAAGACAAGACAAACCTTAATCTCAGATTGCCATTGCATTAGAGCAACAGGGGGAACGACGACGAGAGATGGCTGCCCAACAGGATAATCAGACATAAGAAGGGAAACCGCCTGGATTGTTTTTCCCATGCCCATCTCATCGCCTAATAAACCACCCTTATACTGGGACCTCTCTTGCCGCATCATCCAATTCAGACCTTCTAGCTGGAATGACTTGAGATTTCTCGATATGCCAGGGGGTTGTTCTGCTGTGACTGGGATAATAGGAGGACTGTTTCGTAGTTCATCCCACATTTTCATGATATATGGATGTTGCCTCTCGAGTTTTTTTCGCTCTCTCAATGCCTAAAGTTCCGTTTAGAGTGCACTCTAGGAGGTCATGAATATAAAACTTACGCGATAGGACATCCCTGGCCGTCTAACTACCGGTTCAGTGGGCAAGGAAACCATCGAAGCCCGTGCCCGCGTTCGAGCGCTAGCTCTCGAACCAGCCGAGTCCCCGATTCTCTGACTGACAGAATCAACATCCATGCTTGACATAGAGTCACTTTCAGAGAAATATTCTTGTTCATCCCCAGACTCATCTTCCATGATGATGCTACTTTCACTATCTGATACCACACTCTGAACGGAGTTCCTCGTCTTGCGTGCAGGGCGCAGCTTTCCGATATCCACAGTGCCATTCTCTTTATTGTAACTTGATCTCGTCAAAACACTATCGTTGTCAGTAGAGTCCTCTAATGCAAACCTAACGCCACCTCGAGTCTTGCGTCGCTTCGGGGAGGATTTTTGATATTCTCGAAGCTGAAGGGCCTGAGTCAAGGCTGTGTCTGAGCTTTCAGAAGTAGGGTCGTCTGAAGTTATAGCCGCAAAATCTCTTTTGGGCCCCTTTTGCGTGTTGAGGGACTTTATACTCGAACGTAGTTCTCGAGCGCGAGCGGAAGCACTAACTCTTTTCCTTGGTTTGGTCATGTTCATCTCGGCAGGAGTAACGGCCACACTACTTGCTGGAGTACTGTACGCATTTATACCACCCCCAGATATATCCTCAACCACGTCGGAGGATGAAGTAGAGCGGGTAGGCGACTGTTTTTTCAAGGGAATAGCGACTTCAACCGCTGCCAACCTGCTGTCGCGAAGCGATCTGAGAGTACTCGGATTATGCAACCCACATTCTTCACCCGTAACTGCAGTGTTGCTTTTCCTAGCGTCAGAGACACAGGGACGTGCCAGCCTCGAAGAAGTGCGCCGGGGGAGTGCAGGGCTATCTGGAGAGTTTTTTTAATTATATTAGCACCAGATTTAATTCTTAGCTCGTTTCTTTGTCTTTTATCTTTCTTCGTGATTGAAAACTGATACAATTGGAATATATGACAATCCTTAGAATCAGCACACTCACCTGCGGTTGAGGCCGTCTGAGGCCCGACCTTTGTTGTCTCCTTCCCCATATTGGCTTTTGGATATGTCCCCTTTATCCCGTATGTTGATTGGGAGAGGATGAAGAAGAAAGAAAAGGCAAAACAAAATTGAGCTTAACCTGACCTGATTGTGAGTGCTATCATGCGTTGAGGCAAAAGCCTGCAAGTGGCAAATCTGGTTGTTGCATATGTACCTGAGCCTAGGCTCCAGTCGCGGGTATCGGCAAGGGAAACAGGAAAATATGGATGGATAAATGTGAATGTGCAGAGTAAGAACTTTTCACCACTGAGTTATAATATCGGTTTACTTTGCTGAAAGCATAAATAGTACACTTTTCCTTCATGTACTGTGGACGGTGCCTCTGTAAGTCATCCTTCCTGAACACGATAAGCGTCCTCGCGTAAGGTCGAACGCGAAATCACCACGGGTCCTGTGACTTCATATTACCTCTTTTGACCTTCTCGGTTCAATGAAGCTCTTATCTTCAACCCCAACCCTCTTGAGAGCTTTCCCGCAAAATGTAGGTGAAATACCAACAATGATAACGATTTATTCACTAACTAGTTAAAGGGCAGATAGAAGACAAATCAGAAACCAAATAAGAGGCCCGTATGTAGTATCCTACAAGATCGCGTCCTATTTATGCTATAAAGCTAATAAACAATGATAGACACTCTGCCCTTACTGATTTCTTGGCTGTGAGTGGCTGCTACGCTGCCAATTATTCGTCTATCTTTGGGGCCATCGCTGACCAATGGTTTTGTCTTAGTCTAACAATATATCCGCTGCTCAAATTCGTGAAGATTACCGAAGACGCTTAGAGGAAACTGAACATCAAGCTGCCAGCGAAGAACCTTCAACACCCGCAGAGAATGACGAAGCTGATCAGAGCGTCGATGAATCCCCGGAGCAGAGAAAGAAGCGCAAACGAAAGGAAGCCTCCAGTTTAGCAAAAATCAAACAGAGCAAAGAGTTCGCACGTCGCAAAGCTCGGCGAATAGGGGAACCAGATGATGACGATAATCTCATTGCAGCAGAGATCATGTACCAGAGATCTCGACCCATACCAGGTCAATTAGAGAATTGTGAAATCTGCAGTAAACGATTCACAGTTACACCATATAGCAAAACAGGCCCCAATGGGGGGCTCCTATGTGCGAAGTGCTCCAGGAGTCTAGAAGATGGTGGGAACAAACCTAAGGCTAAGAAACGTGGACCAAGGACTGGACGCCGTCAGAATCAGAGCAATCTGCTTGACGGTATAGCCCAACAAGGTGCTTTGAGCTTGGCTGAAATGTGCATAAAGGTATGTGTACATGCTTACACACACACACTATATAACCATTACCAACTACAGCCATTCTCTGGATACTGACGTCTGTTACCCAGAAAATTGCCGATAATATCAACGATATCGAAGAATTTGGGGACTTGCCTTCCCCACTACTACATCGCCTTAGCCAGATTCTATCCAAGAGACGTGCCTTGACATCGAGGACCCTCAATCTCTTTCTGCGACCTGATCTGGACTCAATTAACATTTATGACTCCGCTAGTAGGTTTATAGTTATAAATCGATGTATGGCCTTTACCTGACCGCAGCCTAGAACTAGAGACGAACGATTTCCAGAAGATATTTGCCTTCATGCCTACCCTTACAAATGTCAACCTTCGTTTTGCTGGTCAAATGAAAAATACAGTCGTCGAATATTTACTGGGGCGTGATCTGAGGTTGAAATATTTGCAGCTTGATGCTGCCAACCTGGTTTCAGACTCATATTGGCAACGCCTGTTCGAAAAACTGGGTTCCCAATTAGAAGCCCTAAAGCTGTCCAACCTTGATTTTTCCCTAGACGATGAAACCGTTAAAGTGATGTGTAGAAACTGCACAGAACTTCGTCGCCTGAAGTTGAAACAATGCTGGAAAGTTGGCCATATCTCCTTACAAGCTCTCTCATCCTTGACATCCTTAGAGCATTTGTCTCTAGACTTTGTTCAAGAGACACCAAACGACAGTCTTATAAAAGTGGTCTCTACGGTCGGCCAAAGGTTACGTACACTATCTTTAGAAGGCTTTCCAAATGCGGACAATTGCGTTTTGGAGACCATCCATAATAAATGCCGATCCCTTTCAAAACTTCGTTTGTCAGGCAACGTTGTGTGCACCGACGAAGGCTTCGCGAAACTATTCATTGAGTGGTCAAACCCTCCTCTGGAATACGTGGATTTATCCTCTACACGAGATGTGGACAACTCAAATCCGGATGGCCCTAGGGGTGCGATTGGGCTTGCCTCTGAAGGCCTCATTGCCCTTATGGATCACTCAGGCCGGGCAATACGGAAATTGAATATATCATCTTGTCGCCATGTATCGCGTGCTGCCTTCGAGGAAATATTTTCAGATAGCAAAGTCTATCCCAACTTGAAGGAATTGGATATCTCCTTCCATACCGTGATGGACGATTACCTCGTAGGTCGAATATTACAATGCTGCCCAGCAATCAAGAAGCTGGTCGCTTTCGCATGCTTTAATGTGAGAGATGTCCGGATACCTGCCGGTGTTGCGTTGATTGGAGGACTTAAAGCACAAGACACAATCGTTGTCGAAGGCAAGTTCTAACCTATGAGGCTTGGCATGAGAACCATAAATTTCTCCGAAGGGTCACAATGTTGTGGTGGAGCGGCTGGGGGGTAATTTTCTGTCCCATTCGGTTGGACCTGGACGGTGAGTCCGTCTGCAGGAACTGGGAAATGGCTTAGTTTTCCTCACTCTTCTTTCTTTGGTTGATTTTGTTCCCAGTGTCTACATTATTCAACTTTTCTTATGCCTACAATGTGACTAGTTGACAATGAATCGATCATAGTACGAATTCAACGGCAGAGTAGGTTGTAGACTTTCCTTTTGCCCGTACGTACTGTAATATGAATATGCCCCCACATAAATACAGTACATTCCTAGAGTGTCATGATCCGAAACGAAATTCAAGAGAACAACGTAGTTGCTTCGTGCACGATGGAGTATAGCATAATGCATGGTGGTCAGGAGGTATTGATACAGCATTGCTCATCTGCCATCGATGACAGCGACCCGCGTCCTATTGCGAGCCTATATCCATAGCAATGCATATGGAGTATGGGACTTGTCGAATGACTGAGTCTGCTAGTGCATCTGCCATCAAATAGCTCTTTGAGATAGATCATGTTACTCAAGTGGAGCCTTAAACTGCAACAATGATAGGTGATTCTGGTCATCCACTTTGAATAAAAAGGGAAAGGCAGATCCCCCCACACAGGAAAAAACCATACAATTGTCGGTTACAGATTGCTACTTATTCTGTCCGTTAAGGATACGAGAGACAGAATACGGAATATAATCAATGATGATCACCTCGTAGTTAATGTGTAATACGATGACTACAGAGCATTGGTTTGGAAATCTCAATTGAGGGATTGAGGGTACTGGCAAGTACTGTATATGGGCCACTCAATACAGTAAAATGTTGAGCACTACCCACTCCATAGGTTAGTGTATCATCAACGCCCCCCCTTTTTTTTCTGTCCCCCTTCTCTCTTTTCTCATCTTCTCCCCCTAAGATTCTCTGCACTAGTCACCTAAATAAACAAATGACATGTAAAATTGCTACAAACAAAACTAAGTCGTCAAAAAATCTTGGGTAGAGTGTGAAACATTCCTGTACTTCATACCAGTTCAAATCTGGTTCCATGCTTCTGATAAGCTCTAAATTAAGTGAGCCTTTTTTTTTTGGTTGGAAAAAGAAGCCCAAAGAGAAGTGGCGCGCGCGGCGGCGGGGGAATAAAAGAGCACAGAGAGCAAAATACGAGTGCTAGCTAGTAAGGCAAGTTTTCTGCTTGTCAGGTATGTTAAGTTTTGCCACATCGGGCTTCATAGCGGCTCAGTTTGCCCCTGAAAAGACCAAGTGTGTACACCGTACTAGACTCCTAGTTTCTCATTTTTGCGCTTCCAAATCGACTTGCTTATCCTTTCTTCCTGCTCCCTTCTTCAACAGCATATGGTGGATACGGCCAAATCAGAAGGTCTCAACAGTTTAAACGATGGAGCTGCAACTTATGGGGATGGATTGTCTTTTGATCTGTTCCATACTTTTGTTTGATATATTACACCCGAGTTCTTTAGCAAGGAATTAGTGATGCCAGCTCAAGAAAAATTTATTACAAAGCAGCAGAAGAACAGCAGCGATAATTTTAACAAGTAAAAAAGGTCTAAGATATTTACAGAACAAGGCCGAGCGTGTAACTGAGTGCAAAATCTAGAAAAGGCTTCGAAATCCATGAAGCCAAGATGGACGTTGGCATAACCTTAAATAGCCGGACATACAAAGATCGGTTATTCAGATACCTACGGAGTACTCTCGAGTGAAATAAGGCCAAAATTGAATAAACGATCATACGTTTTGTATTGTTGGAAGGGGTAGCACAGTGATAGGAGTATGGAAGCACTATGAAGCGCTAGTCAAGGGCCAGCCACCATATCCACATGGGAGATTTACTGACGAGAAAGTCTCAGTTTGAGTGGCTCTATAGAACATGCCAAGTGGTACTGGCTCTGATTCGCTCAATAATCCCTTGTTCTCCTGAAGCCAATGCCCCAACCGCCTGAATGGAGGCTGGCCGTGTACTTGGGTTCCCAGGTTGTTTCCCTCCCTTCCTTTACTGTACGGAGTCAATAGCATGTTGCTAATTTCCATTCTTTCTTTAGCAATCATTTTTTGCTGGTTCATTACTTATTTCCACCAAGATTTCTTTTTGCTCAATATTCTAGATTAGGTACCGTCCTTTCCTACTCATTCCTGTTCTTGTCTACTCCGAAGGAGCTGAGGTCACACCTTTTTGCTATATTTGGTGACGAGACTAGCGCTCAGCTCCACACTCCACATCCCCTAATGGGTGTGTTCACTGTTTGAGCCTGGAAAGCGAGAGCTTTTTGCTCAACTACCTATCCATCTCTTCAGTACATACAACTTATATTACAGTATTTTTTGTTATTAGT